TTCAGTTTGCGCGCCGTGTCCTCGCAGCAGCTGTCACTGGTCGCGAATGTGTTGCCACAGTCGCCCACTGTGGCTATACAGTCACATCACCACACAGGCGTGCAGCCATCGCCTTCTTCAGCTCAGCACGTTTCGCCACAGTACCGAGGGAGAGAATGTTAAATTTACGCCGATTCACGGCGGGAGTGCAATACATCGATTTACGAAAATATATGTACAGTTTGGTCCGAACCAATTTGTGATCAGTGCCACACTCAGCTCCACGCAGTACACGTGTCATGCGCACTTCACGCATATCACGCTGACGTACGATGACATAGTCGAGCAGGTGAGCGTGACCACTCCGTGGGTGCGTCCAAGTTGCTATATCACTCGCACTCAGTGCAAACCGAGTGTTCGTGATCGTCAGGCCGTGAGTGGCACACAGTGAGAGCAGCCTGTCACCGTTCGCATTCGCTGAACCAATGCCATGCGCACCGATAACATCTGTCCACGCTGATGCATCACGCCCAACGCGCGCGTTGAAATCACCCAGCAGAAATAGTCGGTCGCTCCTCGGCACAGACCGTATCACGGAGGATAGCTCAGTGTAGAACTGATCACGCGTGTCATCAGGATAACACATGGTCGGACCGTACGTGCTTATAAAAGTAGCAAACTTACCTCTTCCGAGTCGTAGGCGAACAGTCATCAGCCGCGCGCTGATGCCCGTTGGTTCACCCACCAGCTGGCCATTCAGGCGGATCGGATATTGCAAATCCGACCCCATGTTCACGTGGTGCTGAGGCGGCGTTCCCCACCCAGTAGAATGTGTAGCCAGCACCTGCTTCATGTAACTTACCTTGCTCAGCGAGCCGAGTTTCACTGAGCGCCGCAATATCGTATGTGGTAGCGTGCCAGCTCCATTGCGACCAGTGCAGTGCGGTCGGACATCCGGGCGCTCGCTCGAGTTCCGATCCAGTAGTGTGCGCACGTTCCAGCACCCGATGCTGAGTGCTTTGCGCGCAGTGCATTACGTTTGCATTTGTGGGCAATATATATATATATATATATATATATATATATATATATATATATATATATATATATATATAAACGGATGGACATAAGGACGTCAAGGAAACCATGAGAATCAAAGTAACATACAAGTTGACAAATAATAGAATAAAACGTTGTTCGTGTATTTTTCACGCGCTGATTTTTCTTTTTTTATCATTTTCCATGTTTGCAGTATTCAACATGTGAATCTTTTACTGACTCCGGTTGCGGACCATATCTTCAAGCGTGGTAAGCCATTGCCATTCCTCATGCTTGGATCTCCATCCTGGAGGACATACGTATTCAACGGCGGCTAAACGCGGCTTCAGCAATTTCATGTGGTGTCACCAAGTGGACGGCTGACCACTACACGGCCGCCTCCAGCCAGGTTCTTGACCAGCGAATAGTGCGCGACCCAGTAGACGATCGGGCTCCATGTATAAGATGTGACCAAACTATCTCAACCGGTGCAGCAAAACCAGTTTGTTGAAGGGAGTCCTTGCATTCTCCAAGACGCGACGTCGAACGTCATTACTGTTAACTCGATGTTGCCACCAAACACGAGCGACCTTCCTTAAGCAACCGTTATCGAGGGCAGAAAGACGACGCATGTCTTCCATGCGAATCGGACAGGACTCGCACCCATACAACAACATTGAGTAAACAGATGCACTGCAAACGCGGCTCTTTAGCGAGATTGAGACGTCGCGACGACGACACAAATGCCTCAGTTTGACAAATGCTAATCGAGCTTTCGCGATGCGAAGAGAAACTTCTTTGTTGATAGTGCCGTCAGCAGAAACACAACTTTCAAGGTAGTTGTTAAAGTTGTGCACCTTCTAGAGTGAGCACGGGAGCAGATGAAAGCCAATCCTCGAGCAGTACTTTACACTTTGATGGGGTGAAGCTCATGCCATACTTAGATGCTTCAACCGCCAAACGATCCAGAATGAGTTGTATACCCTTAAGGATCGTCACCAAGTAAGGCGATATCATCAGCATAATCTAAGTCGGTCGCGCACTCACCCGGTAGAACCTCTAGGCCAAAATATTGGAAACCTTCTCGAGCACTCGACAGAACGTCTTCGATTTCGAAGTTGAAGAGGAATGGGGACATAGGATAGCCCTGTCACACCCCACTATCGACAGAGAATAGCGAGGAAAGCTTGCTGTAAGACCCTCACTCTGCCTTAGGTATGAAGGTAAAGTGCACGTAAGATGGCGGCATGCTACTCTGGGACCCCATTCTTTAGCAAACAACGCCATAAAGCAGGTCAATCAACGGGGTCAAAAGCGGCACGTATGTCTAGAAATGCAACTATAGTGGGCTTGTGATAAAGGTGGCGATGTTCGAGGCGCTGGCGGAGGTGAATATTTGATCCACGCATCCGCCGCCTTGACGGAAAACAGGTTTTTCTTCACGGTACTATGATTCACGTTTTGCGGATAGTCTACGAGGCAGAATGGATGCCAATAGCTTGGCGACAACTGAAATAAGACTAATCCTGTAAATGCCTTTCTTGAAAATCGGGACAATAACTGATTTGTCCCAAAAGGAATGCACTTTCTCTTCATGCCAGCTTTTTGCGATCAACGAGATTAGCTGATTAATGATCGCCACGCCGCTCTACCTGAACAGCTCCGAAAGAAGCCCGTTTGAGCCGGCAGCCTTGAATCGCTTCAAGCGACGAATCTCGATGCAGACCACCGCTCCGCAGGGTGAATTCCGTGGGACGAGCTATTACAGGAGGCCGTCTGTAGGAGTAGCTAGCTCTCTGTCTGAAGCAGCATGAAGAAAATTGATCGTACCCCATATACACACTGTCTTCCGAGTGCTCCATACAAGTTCAACCAGTGGCCTTTGTCTACTGATTTGCGAAGTGGCTGTATCGTGACCCAAGTAGCTATGTCGGTTATCCGTACTGTCAGCGGAAACACAACAGATTTTGGCGACGGGAGCAGAGTTCAAGATGTTAATCTCAACAGAAGGTCTGAAGGCCATTTTGCTTCAACAGCAGCGGCAATTCGAGGCGGTACAGCTATGTATGAGTGAGACTCACTCGAACACTCTCGCTCCAGTCTACATCAGTCCACAATGCTATAAAGCCTTCAGTTGATGCAATAGTCAACAGTGTCAGTGAGTTTGGTTTTGATCCCGTTTTAGGACTGATTTTCGATCCATGTTTCAGACGTTACGTAGATATTTTCAAGACGGAGCTGGCAAATCTTGATGATGCATCAGAAGTACGGCTGCTGCTACGTAAACTCGGAACTGTGGAGCACGACAGATACATCAATTACATTTTGCCCAAAAGTGCTCAAGATTTCGGCTTTGATGAAACAATTTGCTGACTTACGGAGATGTTCGGCGATCAGGCATCGCTTTTCAATAATCCGTATAATTGCCTGAAGCTGTGCAAGAGGGACAGCGACAGTCTTATTGCTTATGCAGTAACATTGAAGCGAGAGTGCTAGAAATTCAAGCTGAAATCACTTACTGAAAACCAATTTGAGTGTCTGATACTGGTATGCAGCCTGCAGTCTCTCAGGGATGTCGAGATCCGGACCAGCATACTCGGGGAGTTTGCGCGAGACCCGGAAGTCATACTCCAGGCTGTCGTTGTAGTGGCTCATAGAATCATCCACTTAAAACACGATACAACTATGGTAGAAGATACGAAAACAGATTCCAATGATTTCGCAATTCAGCAGATTTCGATTAGCAAGTTTGGCAGCCACTGATCGCAAAATGCTCCCTCAAGGTGTGCCGCCATCAGCATTTTGGCAATGCGGAGAGTGGCGTTTTGTTAGATGGTCTCCATTCAGCAAGCATGTATGCCAAAAATGTCGTAGACACGGGTACAGAGAAACTCATTGCAGATCCAAGCTATCTCTCAGACCGATCCATCATGCACAAAAGAAAAGCCACGGTGGTTTTGCGAGGAGAAAGAACGCCGATTTTCCTGACGATGTCAAAGATCGTAGTAAGTACATCAACATCAATGAAAGACCGGCGCGTTTGCAGATCGATACGGCCTCAGACATTACGGCCATATCAAAGTCCGTGGAGAAGTGTCAGGTCGCCAGATATCAAACCTACCCGTCAACAGGCGAAAAGCGCATCAGGTGCCGAGTTTAAATTGCTTAGTCAAGTCGACTGTGAGTGTCGTTATGCCGACGTTACCGCATGGAGAACGATTTTTGTCACGAACCACCAGTATCTGGATCTTCTGGGTCTGGACTAGATCGAGCATTTCAACCTGCTTAATGTTCCAATGAACTAGCTTTACGCAAGTATCCAGATACACAAGATAACAGCTCCTGAAACTGTAGCTATCGAGCGCCTACTGGAGAAATAAGCAGCAATCTTTCGAGAAGACTTCGGTAAGTGTACCAAATACAAGCTTCATTGTCCCTTAAGCCCGATGCTGTTCCACTGTTTCGTACCTTACGCGACAACACCAATGGTTGACCAAGAGCAAGATCACTTAGAAAGAGCAGAGGTTATCCATCCGGTTAACTACTCATGTTGCGCGGCAACCATTGTGATCAAACCGTCATATTCGAATAAGCACCGATTTCTCGACTGGTCCAAATGCTGCATTGAACACTCATCAGTACTCTTTACCGCTCCCAGATGATTTGTCCACAAAATTGAATGGAGGTAACTGTTTCGCAAAGCCTGATCTCTCTGGTGCATATCTGTATATCGAGGTACATGAAACTTCACGAGAACTACTTACCATCAATACACATCGAGGTTTGTATCAGTATCGCCGCTTCCCGTTTGGAGTCAAGTCTGCACTAGCCATATTCCAGCAGATCATGAACACAATGCTAACGATGGAGCTGTCGATTGAGCAACTGCGTACCTGGATGACTTCATTGTTGTCGAAAACAGTGCTGATAACCTATTCGTAAAGTTAGATCAAGTTCTTAGCCGTGTTAAGGAAAATGGATTCAGGCTCCGACCTGAAAGTGTACCTTCTTTATGGACTCGATAACGTTTTTCGGCTTTATAATCAACAGGAACGGCAGGCGTTCATACCCAGCGAACATCGAGGCAGTTAAGAAGATGCTGCCGCCCAAAGATGTTTTGGCGCTAAGATTCTTCCTAGGACTCAGTCATTACAGCCCGTTTCTAAAAGAAAAAGAGGCATCAGCAGTACGCCGGTGCGCAGTACCAACGCTTCGCCGCCGCGTTCCGCCAGAGGCCTTTGTCTTCTGGTTTGGGAAGTGGCTGTATCGTGACCAGAGTAACTGTACTGTCAGCGGAATCACAACACGAAGCAGGGTGGACAACGTGTACTGCATGCACTGATGGACGGTGGAGACTAGTTGAATTGCTAGTGAAAGCGCCTTTGTTGGTTGACGATCGGAGACTCATCCGCTTCGCAAATAACCTCGCTGACGCCAGGCTTCCTGAGGTCAGTGGACCGAATGAATAAGAAAAGCTTGCGAATGTTGCCAGAAAGGGCAACGGTCTCCAACTTTAAAGCGCGCTCAGACCACCATGCCTCGCGGCCCTTGCTTAGGCTTTGCTTGAGCAGCTGGTTGGCAGAACGGCGCCGCTCGTTGCAATCTGATTCCTCCAAGATGTCTTTGCGTATGCCAGTGAATACTGATAGCTCGCCTGGACAGAGGAATCAGTTAATCAGTTTACACCAAGATTGCGGTGATTCGTTTTTCGGGACCCCTTAAAGCACATTCGGATTTTCGCGCAGACCAGTGCATGATCTCCGTCAACAAATGTGGATTAAATGACTTGAGGTCCAGTACGCTGCCACGCCATCTGAAGCTGATTGCAATGTGATCAAGTTGAGACCACGGTTGTGTTGGCGAAGTGGGACGCCGTGTTACGGAACACTTCTTCGTACGCCTGACTCAGTGATCGAGAGAAACAGTTGGTTGTCTTCGCACAATGTCAGGAGCCTCTCTCCGTTATCAGAGCGGTTCTCATCGAGCACGTGACCACCTAAGTGGCGTTCGTATGGTGACACGCGGTTAAGCCGTGCATTAATATCCCCAGCAAGGATAACGACATCCGACTTTTTAGCATTAGTCAAGAGCTGATGTAGCTCCCGATAGAACTAGTCCTTCACCGAACCACCACTACAGTCATTTGGAGTGTACGCGGAGATCATGAACAAGTTGCATCTCTCTTCACGTCGTTTGTTGATTCTACCTGAACCCCGAAGCCGTACTGCACCCAGTCGGCTGTTAATCGGGAACAAGTCCAGTAGTGCCGCCTCGGCCATGCCACTTAGTGTTATGCCTACACCAGCCAAATCTGCTGAGGCTGCTTCTGGATCTCCAGAAAGACGCAAGTGATATCTAGATTCATGGTCAGTGGGGGATGTCAATACAAGCACAATGCTGGGTTTTGCAATCGGGTTTCTGAAAAGCATCAGATGTCAATATCGAGGGACCTTATGGTGCGCGCTAGACCGGCTTGCTGTCCTATCTGCATGAGTGTCCGCACATTGAAGCACGCTAAAAGGAACGAGGATCGGGGCAGAAGGAGAGCCATAGGTTGAACTCCATGGTTCGCGGAGCAACGGGAATCACAGCCAGATTTTTGAATACATGAATCGGGTAACGGGAAGTAAGGATTGTTAGCAAACAAACAATTGGCATGTGATGCAGTTGCGTAAATGTAAGAAGCAGAAACGGTAGTCGATGAGCATCCTGTAGAACAGTCCACGGTTTTGTGAGAGGGCATAATACTACCTGGTTGTCCAAGCCGAAGTAGGGAGTTGACTTAGAGGACCCCACTCTGAGCCATTTTTTAAATAGTATGCCCGCAAGGCAGCGAGGCGAATTCCCGCCCATTTGGAGTCGCTGACTGAATGTTCATTTTATGCGTCTTTCGTTTAGTAGATCACCAAACAGGGGCCCAATCGTCCTCGTGAAACCTGCAAAATTGCTGGAGTACAATGCTCCACCTAGGTGGAAAGTTGTCGCCGAACACTTCGCTGAAACGGTGTACACCCGAACCACCCAGCTGGCGCCACGAGGAGGTAGTTCGGCAAGCCAGCCCAAAAAGGTGGAGTGGCAAACTCTACGACACTAACCACGTGCGGGGATGGTTTACTCTCTAGTCCGTTCATTACTAATGGTGAACAAGGATGTAAGGTAAACGAGAAAACAAAATGATAGCGAGTCACATACAAGAAGTCAGTGGAACGAGTTCACCAAAATGAAGATTCAAAATGGCACGCGGTGTATTTTGGACTGGAGTCACTAGTTGTTGGGTGGCGCCTAGGATACTAGTCGTTAGCAATGATATTTAAAGAACGTGCCAAATACGGTACGGTGAAAAAATTAGAAGCAGTTGGGCTCAATTTATTTCGTTCAGGCTACAAGGAACGGGAAGCGAATCAGAAAGAAAGAGGGACGCGCGGCGTGGAATTCATGAGAGCAATTCGTGAATACGGATGCGGAGGTTCAAATAAAGTAAAATAGACAGAGAATTTTAGAAACCTAAACCGCCCACTACACACAACTGCACCCATTTCAGCATTGGCCCAGTCAGCGTATGACGCGGATTGCTCACCGCTATCTCCAACAGAAGTTGCAGATATCGTTCGTCGCCTGAAGCCGAAGAAAGCTCCTGGAGCGGACGGGATTCCATCCGAAATCTACACGCGTTGTCTACCAGCCTACCTCGGCCATTTCCACCAGCTGTTCTGCTCGAGATGAAAGACCGAAATCTGTCCTTTCTCGTGGAGTACCTCATTACTATTCCCATTTCCCAAGAAAGATGACCGTACTATGTGCAGTAATTATCACGTGCTTAGCCTAAACGATGTGTCTTCCAAAATCTTCGCACGAATCTTACTTTCCTGCTTTGCCAATGAGAGGAACCTGCGAACTCATCATAACCAAGGTGGCTTTCGTCCAGGCAGAGGCTGCATTGACCAAATCCACTCTATTTCGAGTACTCAAACACTGCTCCACTTACTAGCAGCCAACGTTTGTTTGCGTCGTTGGTTTTCGAGGTGCCTTTGACTCAGTTGACCGTAAGGCACTGTGGAAAATTCTACTTGCTGATTACGTTTCGGTTAAACTCGCTAACTTGATGTGACCACACTACCGTTGCACGAGAGCCCAGATTCGGGTCTATGAAAAAGAAACAAAGGAGCTCGACATAATTACTGGAACCCGACATGGTTGTCCATTTTCTCTAGTGCTATTATGCTTCGCGGTCGACTGGGTTATGCATCAGGCCGTTGAGCATTATCGCAGTGTTCAAGTTAGCCCTGACTTCTGATTGTCAGACCTGGAATTTGCTGATCATATCGCTATCCTTGCAGAAGATCCTACATTACTACAGTCACTGCTACATCGGGTCAACCAATCAGCCTCTATGATCGGCCTCAAAATTAACATCAGCAATACGAAGTACTTCACATCTTCAATCACCCAGTCCGCCCCGTCGCTCACATTATATGGGCAACTCATCGGGTCTGTTCCTGAATTCAATTACCTTGGTACCACTATTCTCCCCAATGATCAGAAAACATCCAAAATCGGATCTTATTGACAGCGCCAGAACAGCCTTCTAACAACTGAGAAACACATTGTGGCGAAGGACGGAAATTAGTATGAGAACGAAAATTCGAGTATTCTCAGCAACCATTCGAGCCATTTTACTGTATGGTTGCGAAACATGGTTGCTGCGATCCGAGGACACCGGGAACCTGGAGGTTTTCGACCATTGGTGTCTAAGGTTTATCTTGCAAATGCAGCGACATGAGCGTATTACCAATCACGAAATTCGTAAGCGCTGTTACGATCTTCTGAAGATCTCTTCGCTTATCCAACGCCGCCGAGTTAAGTGCTTTCAGGGTGAGTAATATCTCCCAGAAAAAATCATTAATTCAATGGGAAAACGTTTCGAACCAATGAGGTACAAAAGAAACATGAAGACGTTTCAGGAATGTTCAAATCAGGAACATTCAGGTTTAGCCGACACGATTGCCAATCGATGACAGACGCTCGTGGTACTATTTTATCAAAGAGTTTTCGGGGCGAGTTGGAAAGGATTGAGCGGGTAGAGCATGTGGCCATCATGCTCATTTCTACTTTTTACGAGGTGTGCCGTACGAAGTCCGGTGCAACAGACTAGGGCTTTACACACTGTCTTACCGTCGATTGCGGGTTGATCTCATCATGACGCACCGGATATTACATCTTGGTGATTACCCCCTGTGGAGGTCGCTGCTGCATATGCGTACACCAACCAGCACACGAAGACACCGCTACACGCTTGTAGTATTGCATTTAAAGCGAGTCGCTCATCAACTCTATTTCTAACGAAGAGGTGAATGGATGGAACAACCTACCGCCGCATGTAATTGAGGCAAAGTCGGTGTCGGAATCCAAGAAATTCCTGGACAAACACTGCGAATATGAAACATCGCGACTGCTCTCCAACATAACAGGTCATTGCACTCAAAGGATTTTAGATGCAGCTACACAGAGCCATCTCATCTTACTGCTTTCATACAGTATCCGCTTCTCCATATACTCAGCCTGTGTGCTGTCTCGCTGACTCATTTCGCTTGACCTAGCAGCGGACCCTCTTGTCTAGGGAATTTTTTTCTACCTCTTTGTTGTAAGACTATCTTTGCGCACCGTGGTCTCCATCGGTTTCTACTCTTGATCGTTGACACGTTCCGAGTTTTGTCGATTAGTTTCCGGTGGTTAGCGCTTATTTCTGGTGTTGTCTCGTTAGATTTCCCGGTACCATACGCATCACTCTAAGTATTCTTGAGCGTTTTGCTGCTTACAGTATCTATTTTCTTTGTATATTGTGCAGGCCTACCGCGGTTGTGCAATCGGAAAAGCAAAACAGAATGCGACCACCGAGATTGAGAAGCTAAAGCTCACTGAGTTGTCTCCTGAAGAAATTGTGAAAGAAGCAGCAAAAGTGTAAGTTCCATTTTCGATAAAATTTTGTTGTGTTAATCCAAACATTTAGGAATGTATACTCTTTTATCTTGTAGATGGTGGCTGGAGATTAGACAAATTTGTATGCTATCAGTTTACTTATTTATACCTGTTTGCTGCTCTCCCTTAGAGCAGTAGATAATGTATCAGGAGGCACTCGAGTCCGAACCTCATCACTGATGGACAGCGTTCCTAGATGATAGTCCAGTGTTTGGGAAGTCTTGAATGACATCTAAAGCGCTCTAGAGATACATCTTCATTGAGTGATCATTGTCACCAACGTCAGTAGCAGCAGCAGCAGTGCATCAGCAATCTGTACTGGTGATTCGTTGCCGGACTACTACAATGACCTAAGGAGGGACAAATAATAAGGGGACCCAGAGAAAAACCAAAATGCACTAAGCGAACATCCAGCATCTAGGCGCCTACATATTATCAACAGCATGCTATCACAAACAGCTGACTATCGTGTAAAGATAATGTGGGATCGGCGAGACAGATTCCTTACAGTTTTCACTGTTCCGCATCAGACACAATTTAAATATGCCATTTAAGAGGCGTCACCAAACATTCCGAAAGTGCACATTGATCCACTTAATCGAAGGCAACTTCGGTGTCGAGTAACACAACTAGGGTGAGTCGCCAATCTAATTGCCGGTGCTGCAATAAGTAGCGCAAAGTTAAGATGTGACCAATGAAGCCTCCATTTCGCCGATGCCCGGCTTGCTCTTCACGAATCTGGCCCAACGGGACCACCTAGGGAGCAAAACCATCAATGGAAAGCGACGAAACGGAGGATTCTGGCCAATTAAGTTGCATTTCGAAACGCTTAGCCCAACGTCCCAGTAGTTGTGACAAGCATATAGTATCGCTAGCCCCAAGTCTGTTGCTACCCGTTTCCCTTATCAAGCGGAATAATTTGCAGTGGTGGCAAGAAGCACCAGCCATTCCCATCTCCGACGCACAATGAGATCACCAGGCTTTGCGGCCTCACTTCATGCTAGCACAAAGTTTCGCCCTGAGGTGTTTACAAGTCTCATTTTGTATGATTTCAGCCGGAATGTGTTGGCGAGCATCCAGAAGTTCTAGAGACTGTGTAGAGAGCTTTAGTTCGTGTTGGCAGTCGAATTCGCCGCTTCATGACATACCTGTTGGTAATAACCTCCAGTGAACATGTTGTGCCAGTGGTCATAATTTGTGTTCAGTTTACTCTGATATGCGTTTAGAACATCCGGCTTCACCAGTTGGCAAGTTCTATGCACTCGCAGCGTCGCCGCGGAGGTTCACTGAAACGTATCTGTAGATCAGCACATACAAGTGCATGGTCCGAGACTTGCTTGTACTCTAACGGTAACTGATCGCGAACTGATCGATTTGCGTCCGAGGCTGATAAGTGCCACGCCACTCTCTACTGGGTACTACGTCAGAAGTTAGTGTTCGCGAGAAACAGGATAGCATTTTCGCAGCCGCCCACTGTTATCATAACAGGAGCCCACACTGTTGGCCACCCATATGCAGGCTATCTGTAAACAGTTTTCCAACTTGAGTGTTCAGATCACCAGTCCATACCACAGTATCCGTATTCTTTCTAATGATGAAGGAGCTCGTTCAGTTTGTGGTAGAATTCATCTTTCACCGAGTAAGCGCTGCAGTTTCTGTGGGCTTATACAGCAATTGCAAACAGGCACCTTGTAAAGACTATACGAAGACTGGATTAAATAATCGCACTAGACGGGATAGGGAAACAGTAGGCTAGTGAACCTATACTGTACGCACGGTCTGGGAAGAGAAAGTAAAACAGAAATTCCTGTTACCATGGTCCTATATAATTCAAGTTAAAGATAGTACACAACCTACGATTAAGTTTGCAATCGTAATGAGAATGGGCGGAAACTGGAAGACATGCGGCGGTGTGTGGAAGCGGTACAGTAGTAGTTTGCTAATCGGCAGTCTGTCAAGGGTGGAACATTTGGCCTTGAGGAGTCAACTATATGCCAGTAGTGCGAAGTGAAAACGTAGTGTTTCATAATGCAAGCGTTAGAAACAAACATGTATAAATTTCTGAAAGGATATAAGTGAAGGGGTTCGGAGTATGGATATCATGCCTTCAAACAGGTGGTGCAGTTTGGCTGAGTAATCAAAGTTTTCTTTAGACTTTACACACCTGTTGCTCTCGCGCGACGTCAAAACTTTGAACGAGCCAGTCAATCTGGCAGCATACTTCCGGCTATTGATTGGGATCCAGTCGACCAAGGTAACTACAGTCCGGGGCTCCGAGCAACGCCCACACCTATTTGGCCAACATTGGAGGCTTCATTTCCGGCTGGATGCAGAGAAAAAGTGCCGTCAGCGTCATAGGAAGTCGATTGCATGAGCACAGGGCAGATATCGAGTCTCTTATGTTCGTGCTTTTTCTACGGTTGTCATTATTTATTTATGAAAACGATGTCAGTATTGGCATTTCCATCGCCTCCAAGTTACTTGCCTCTGTCATACTTCACAGATTGACTAGCACTCGTGAAAGTCAGATTTGTAAGGAGCGAGCTGGGTTTCGTCGAGGTTGCGGCTGCATCGGTCACATCCTCACTTTGTGCCAATTGTTGGAGCACCGTCACATATATTCCCGGACCACCGCTTTCGGGTTCCTCAACATCAAAAGTGCCTTTATATCTGTGAATCAGTGTGTTGGGTCTGTCTACCCAGGAAAGGTGTGCCCGAGAAATATGTAAATATTATCCGAGCATCATATGGGCGTAGCTCGGATAGTCTCCGCCCTACAATATCTTCAGCGGTGTAAGACAAGGATGTTCGCTGTCACCTTTCCTCTTTAACTTCGCTATTGATTAAGTTATGGAGATCGCGTTCACTGGACACGACTTAAAAGGTGTGGAGCTGCTCCGAGGTGAGCGACTTCTTGAGTTGGAATATGCTGACGATATTGCCCGCATCTGCGACAGCTCACAATCCTGCCAAGCAGCACTAGACAGATTAGTACTGGCTGTCAGCTGCTTTGGGCTTTACTTTGCACCTTTAAAGTGTAAAGCTTTCCTCAAAGATTGATGGGGACCGCCCCCTGCGCTGACCCTTGGCGGGGATCAGCTAGACGTCGTTCAGAAATTCAACTACTTGGATAGTTGCATCAGAGCTTGTGAAATCGAGGACGAGGCCATCAACCTTTCAGCAAAAGCTCGAGGCGCTTTTGCTAACTTTCTCCACCTACGGCGCCGGCGCAGCATCACTCTCACCCTGACGGGGTAGAGTGTACAATGCAGTGGTATGTTCGACCCTACTGTACGGTTGTGAAATCTGGCTCATTAGAACGGCAGACGTAAAGAGGCTAGTTACATTCGATCACCGGTGTCGTCGCAGGTTGGCTCATATCTAGTGGGAACACCGCGTAATCAGTGAGCATGATCGGCGCCTTATTTATGGCATAGGAAAAGGAAGTGAACCGCTCAGACTATTATTTCACGAACCAGGTGAACCGCGTGTTACGCATGTATGTATGTAATCTCAACAGTCTAGTAACTAGATATAGAGCCAACGCATGCTAGCACACAGACTCTCGCATTGTGCTTATTTTGCGTGTCGGGTTGTGGATAAAGAGGAGAGGAGGGCAACCGACAACTTGATCAATAGGAGTGAAGGCCCGTAGTTCGAAATTGGCCTCGGTTGGAGTCTCTCGGCTCCCTGCTTGGGCGCGAAAGACGTTTCGTTGGGTACACTTGTTGACATGGCAAGGAAACGATTTCAATGGCGGTTACGTTGTAAGTTTCTTTCCTCCTTCTAATCCCGATCTCATTTCTGACACAGTATAACTCGCAGCACAATAACTGGCTTCTAGGTCTCAGGAACGATGTCCACTCCTTACTGGTGACTTAGCTGGCGTGCTTCTGTTGCGCTTCCTTTTCCTTTTATCATGTATTGCGGCACATCAGCTGAGGTGTTTCCCGCCTCTAGCTAACGTGTAGAATGATGATGAATGAGTATGGATATCAGCCTGTGAGTGAAGGTTAGGGTGTACAACGCTGCGATAAGGTCGGTGTTATTGCATGAACCAGAGACCTGTCCAGTTCGCAGTGAAGACATTACAGACTGGGCCGTGTTTGACTACTGGTGCTTGCGGAGTACTGCTCACATCTGGTGGGAACACCGAGTGAGTGAGGTCCGCCAGTTGGTTTTTGGCAATAAGCCTTCTGGTCTCTTACTCGAGTGTTTGCTAAATGTTAACCGCTTCCGTTGGCTAAGCTATATTCTCTGCATGTCGGTTGATCGGCTTCCTCGGCATGCATTATACGCTGTTGCTGCAACAAGTTGGGCGAAACCTCGAGGTGGTCAGTCCATGAAATGGCATAGAAGCTTGAATAAGTTGACTGAGTGACTTGGTCAAGCCGGTGCCTTCCGTTTCTATGGATGGGGGCCTCGGGATCGTCCTCACCAACGGCTGGAGACCCTTTCACACATGGCGCAGTCAGTGACGTTCCTGCATTCGGTTTCTTACATCTAGTTGTTAACTTTCGTACCATTCTGATTAGTCTAATGCAATTTCTTCTTGCTTCTATTTTGTCTACATTCTGTTTGTATTCAATCCCACTATCGTGCCGTCGTTATTTATTGTTATCAATGTGACGTGAGTCGTTGCAACTGGATCCACCGCACTTCGGTGCTTGGGTCATAGTCGTTCAACTGTACTAAACTGAACTGATTTAAATCCACTGCGTTTCATTTTCAGGATATACACTGTGCATGATGAAATAAAGGACAAAAATTTCGAACTGGACTTGAGTTGGGTCGGCGAATGTAGACTTTTTGTCAGTTTCAAACTTAATTTACACTTTCTAGGTAGCAGAGGAGTACACGAGATGGTTCCGCAGTCCTTATTCCAAGATGCAGAAACATTCGCTAAACAGGCCTTGGAAGACACAGATGACCTCGACGATGAAGTGGAATAAATGCAATTGTTTTCGAATAAACAAACCTTTGTACTCATTCGCTGGAAAATTTTCCTATGTATCCTACTGCATTAATGCACCTGAACACATTACTGGTCTAGGATATATCCAGTAACATTCGTAATTAATCCCATTCTTCCCGGATGAATCCGCAACGGGCCGCGATACAAATGACTTATGTTGTGCAGTCTTGTTCAACATTGCATCTGAGGTGCATCTAAGTAGGTTGTTACCAACTTCCGTCGCCATCCTAATTGAAACGTGGCTAATCGTAGCATCGATTTAGTGTATTTCCCTTAGTATGCTGTAGCCTAGAAGTCATTGGAAAGGACTATACTCCTACCTATTTTTGAATAGCAGAGATTAGTGTTGTTTAGCTACTTCAAGGCAACACATGGAGACATACTTCGGATCTGTTGCTAGTGCAGACGCGTGAGCAATATGTAGATATGGAATACATTTTCGATAATTCATCTTCAAGCTTACACAATTATATGCAACTCAAAATGGGTAGACGGACGTTACAAGTTGTTTCTCCAAGAGAGTGTTAATTGGATGTTGACAATGGCTGGCCATTAGATTAGGACAGCCAACTGCCTATGATCTTGCGGGTCGGAGGTCACCAGCCGTTTGAGCCCAGGTAGTCCCAATCCTCTAGTTAGCTTCTTCTGAACACACGGTTCTTGCTTGTACACTTGGATCGCAATCGCCTCAAAACCTATTATTCGTTTCCGCACGTAGTTAGATCGGTTCGCCGGGGCCTGATGGATGATTTTGGAAGGATCAGCTGATTTGGTGGCAAGCCCTGTGTCGGACCATGCAAGCTCTCGTAGGTGATAACTCTCCGGAAAATCCATCTTTTAACAACTTTTCGTATTGGCTCCACATTCATGTACAAGAGAGTGGTTAACGCTCATCAGGTTACCGAACTAAAAGACTTAGCCCTTATGGCGGATAAAATAATGAGGATACAAGCACCAACGATCCCGACCTTATCGCCTCGTGCGACTGATGGCCCACACGTACAAGCCGCGCGCTCTATAGAAGGACAACTGGCTCCCATTGCCATCGCCAGGCAAAGGAGCAAATCTCCATCTAGTCAACTGTGCGCTCGGAGTGTTAGTCGTTCACGTGACATTTGCTGGTATCACCGTAAGTTCCGTAACCGGGTTCAAATGCATAAGCCCGTATCGATTTTCCGACTCGCGAAATGAACACGCCAGCTCGTAATGACGACGATGCAAGCTTGCATATGCGAGCCAAGTCACCTCTTCTGTTTGTGGGACGTTGAATCTAGCATGTGATACCTCGTAGACACTGGAGTTCAAGTCAGTGTGGTCCGTCCATGTATGGAAGACAAAGCACTGCTCGCTATACAGCCTGCAGGCATTAAACAGTACCCCCATTCATACTTATGAAGGACTCATGACTCACTCAACTTCGGTCTACGTATGCTCTATCCCTGCATACTTATTGTAGCTAAAGTGCCAACTGCTATCCCAGGCTTCAACTTCTTTCAGCATCATGGCATTATCGTTTATCCCAAACGCTGTCAAGTTATCGATGGCGTAACGCAACTAGCACAGGCTGGCTTCAAAAGTCCCATTGTCTAGAGTCCCCAGCCATGACTATTTCTTCAAGCTTCAACCACATCTTGCATCGGTCTTTGCGCAGCTTATTAAGGGTCACCATATCTTCTGTATACAACAGGGTTGATCAGCAAAACCATGATACTGCTGGTGCCCCCTTTCCGCCTGTCTCCTTTACTCCCCCTCCCAATACCCATAACTACCCTTCTTTCTATAATTTCCAACTTAATTGACAGCAGCCGCAATGTCACTACAGTTTTACCATCTGCCGCTATCTTCCCGCACCACCCACTGGACGCCTATCGGCAACAGCCCCTTATATGGTCACGCTGTCCCGTTTCATTGGCAGCGTTAAACGTTCGCTGCACTCGCGCACACGTTGGACACCCTGGGTATTGACGTATGTTGCGTGTCCAAAACTAGGATTAATGGTCGTCACGGGGTTGTTGAATTAACTGCTGCCGGCTTACCTTCTCGCTATTAGTTTCACGCATACGGAAATGCTGATACAGCAACCATAGGTCAAGCTAGGTGGGCATTGTTCTCAGCTCCGAGGCTGAGTCATTGTTGGTTGACTGAATTCCTGTGAGCAGCTGTTTGTGTTCAGCCCGTTTGATGACATCAATTAAGATTGATTCACGGAGTAGTACTACACGATTTATCTGTGGTTTTCGCTTATTCCCCCACCGATTGCAGCTCTGATGCTGCCAAAGACACCTTCACCACAGACTGAACACGCTACTACGCAGTGTTACCAGTTCAAATGGAAAAGTGGTTTTATACGGGTAAAAATGCTAATGCTTAACGAGTCCCGTAGGGTGTTTATGTTGAAACATAAAAAAATATTAGCAAAATTGAGTTTACACCAGTGAACTCACTGTAGTGTACGTAGTATAAACTGTAAATCCAAGGGAAATCCATAAGGAATGACGGCAAATGGGATGTTGGTAAAAATCGTGTCTCCTGATGCACACATACAGAAGGTGAAGAAGTGGAACGAAATTTGCGACCGCCAGTAAAATCTCTTACGGACACTTGTGTTTATCCATGGGTAATGGATCAAGTAAGATGGTACAGCGAAATGAGTGCAAGACCAACTCGAGCTTTGAACTCCGCCAGCTTTGGAACGCATGACAGATTCCGGTAGGTCATTCCACGTTCTGCAAACGCGTACGGAAAAGAAATTCCGACGGCATCACAAACAACTGTGCTGCTCTGTCAGATTGAGACGGTGGCCTCACAGATTACTGTCCAGCAAGTAGCGGCACGTGTGGTTGGGATCTCACAAAATCTGGTAAGTCAAAATGCGATCCCCGCACAATCACCGGTACTGTTCGCTGAAGGTCCCGAGCACTTGCAGTCTACGTTCATACGGCAAATTATACAGACCCTTGACATTTTTGGTTGCCCCGCGTTAGGGTATCTCCAAATTGGTGAGATCTTTCCTCAGCAATAGCTGTCAGACCTGTATTGCGTATTCCACATGCGGCCGTATGTATAAGCTGAGAAGTTGTGGAAAAAGTTCTAATCGTCCGAATGCACGCTTTAGGATGCCCATGTGTTGGATGCACCTTCTTGACGCCGTTCCACTCTGATTCGAGCATCCAAGATCGGCCTGGACCAAAACCCAGATCCTTCTCTCCAAAAGAAGTTTTAAGTTCCTGATTGCCGAGTTTGTAGGAGTACACGCTACATTTGTCCACATTGAATCGAAGTAGATTCCGGATTGACCACGCACATACCTTATCCAGATCAGATTGAAGTACTGTGATATCATCTGGTGTATTGATCGCCCTCCACACCTTGATATCGTCGGCATAAAGCAGGCAGGTCGAGCTTATGAGGCCTGTGATATCGTTAATATACGTCAAAAATAATCGCGGTCCAAATACCGATCCTTGTGATACTTCGCATTCAACTCGGATGGGATCTGATAGCGATTCACGCACTCGTACTTCCAGGCGCTGGTGTGGAAGAAAGCTTCTGATCCATCCTAGGAGAGGATCAATACCAAAGGTCTGGAGTTTGAAGAGCAGAATGTTATGGCCTAACCGGTCGAACGCCTTTGAGAAGTCGAGAAAAACTACAACTCTTGTGCCAGTCTAATGCTTCACTCCAGCTGGATCGTGCTAGTAATAGATTTGTAGTGTACGATCGATTTCGTCGAGAGCCATGCTATTCCGGTGCGAGGTATATTCTTCCAAGTAGGCCGTTAGCGCATCATAAATGGTAGTTTCCATGGCCTTTGAAAGAACCGGTAGTAAGATTATGGGACGATAGTTGGCTGGATTGGAACGACTACCTCCCTTGTGAATAGGAGTAATCATCCCGTGTTTCCACATGTCGGGCACATACATTTCGTCAAAAGTGTTGGGAGAATCGAGCCAGTCTCAGTGAAACTCTCCTACCGCCGCTAGCGATTTCGTGTATATTATCAACTTCAAGGGAGCTGTGCTTGCGTATATTCAACAGCTTTTTTAGCCCGGCTTCTGCCGTGAAGGATATGTGAGTGAGTTTTGTGGGTGAAACAACCATTTTTCATTGGGTTATGTGGCCAGTGATCGCACTGAAATTTTGAAGCATATTGTAGGCGCAAGCTATACGCCGCCTCCTTCGGTGTCCGTGTGTGCGAAGAGGAGGAATTCCCCATTTCACCTGTTGACGTGTTGATACAGAAGCCTGTGATTTGAACCATACGCGCTGGTAACTTCTGCTGGTACGTTATTCTATCCTCGCGAACAAGCTGAGCACAGTGGTTACCTTGGGTCACATAGGCCATCCAGTTCTAGGGGAGAGTTTGTAGATATGCCAGGCTGTGTTTCACACCGCTATATACTTGCGTGTCCTTCGCAGAAATGAGACCACGTTTCTCGGGTGGAAGGTTTTAGTCGCTGACGCTTCGGTAACCAGAGAATTAAACTGGCTGAAGAAGTGTTCCCATGCACTAGCTGGTGTCTCGTCTGTCAGAAAGGTCCAGTTGGCTGTCTCACCTGGTCGAGCTAATATGTCGTAGTGTATAATCGTTTTTTGTTGCGTCGTAAATTTCCACGGGATATTCTGCGTAGCAAATGTATACGAAAAGTAGGACTACATGATTGCTGCGACTCAAGGGGACGTCGATGATCACCCTCTCGACCATTAGTTTTTCGTTGGTGAACGAAGGTTTATTTTTTCGCGATCGGGTGGGATTGTTGATGTGGCCATACTGCGGGTAACTGGAGACAAACCCTTGTACATCGATCTTAAACTGTTCTCTTGGAGCTGCTTGAGACTCTAGATAGTGGATGTTGAAATCGCCAGTAATGTGAATGTGACTGTACGTTGTGTTTATCACCCTCCTTATTGCGGATGCCAGATAGAAGTCCATCTCGGGCGTGGAGGAAGGAGGACGGTAAATGACCGCCACTAAGT